AGAAAATTATCCAGGTCACTCTCTTGATTTGTTATTTGTATATCCATTTTAATTATTAAGACATTAGTCAGGTTCTTTTGTATGTCCAGTGCAGCATTTTTTCCACATCGTTCTTATAGCCTGTCATGTTTAAATCCACTTTCAGATGAGTCTCAATCTTGTCCAGTAAAACTTGTTCCTCTTCCATAACATCTTTTAAACACAGTCTATCTTTAGAGACAGATACTCTTAAAATTAACTTCTGAGTCCGTTGTTCAAAAATATCCTTCAGTATGTCCAATGTTAAAATATTTTTCTCCATTCTTTATTAGTAAGTCAATTTAAGTGTTCTCCTTTAACTGTAATCTTTAATTCCTTCTGGTTCCCTCTAGTGTCCAACCTTCAGTTTCATCCTACCATGTTTTTTTTAGAGATTTCAAAACAAAAGCTTTTTCCCATGGGAAGGATTCTTATGATTAATTCCAAAATCTTATTTCAAATCCATCTGGACCCTTAGTCCATTTGTAACTCTCCAGAATCAAAGGTCTAATCACCATTTTGCTGTTTATTCCAAAAGAAAAAAAAATTAAGTTCTTAAGCTTGTATTTAAAATTTCTTTTGCTAAGGATTGAAGGAAACTCACCCGGTGCTGTAAAATGTGTCAGTTCAAAGGTTCCTAATAGCTGAAAAGTAGTTAAAAAGCAAAAGTGATTAGAGAAGGCACTATGCAAACCCAGTGTCCTTTTTGAAGGCGCTGACCGTGGTTTGGGCAAGATAGCTACTCCCTCATCTCCCAGAGCATTAAACCCACCAGAGACCACTGCCCTGTGATTTCCTCGTGAGGAGCAACTGTCTGCAGCATCTGTGGGCAAGCTCAAGCCCTCTCCTTGTCTGAAGAGGAATTACAAAGAGTCGGTCTACTCACCAGCTCTTCATTCTGCCACAGTCATTGGCCCCACTTGCCATTTCTTCCCCGGAAGTGCAAATAATCAACAGAGCCACTAGGAAAATATTGTTCTTTTCAGGATTGTCAACCAGAACATCAAGCTGGTAGAGGTCTACTTGTAAACATCCATATCCAAGAATGGTGCAGGTGGGAATTTCAGGGAAAGCTCATATATCATTGGAGGTGGAACAAAAGCATAATTTTCCTATAACCTTTTTTCTTCCCTTTTTCTTCCACATGAATGATGCATGAAAGAGGCTATGAACAATTTCATATTTGGGGCATACCATCAACAATTGGAGCACTAATGTTCCTTCCATCTTGTACCATGCCATTTCATTGCAAAGAGAGGTTAAAAGGACTGAGGGATCCCCATATCAAAATAAGCCATGCACAGGGAAAATACTTCTCTCAGAGAAAAGAGTTCTTCCTAGCACATTTCCTGACATGCTCCATTTCTGTCTACAATAATGAAAAGGTTATTTTACCACTGTTTTCCAGGGAAATATTCAGACATGTTTCCTCAGCAACTCTCCTTCAGCAACCCAAACTGGATGGTGTTTTCATAGCTTGCTAAACACTAATTCTAAGTTAACCAACCACAGTTCCTGTGCAAATACACTAAATATGGCCAAACAAATAAACCATATGATTAGTGATATGATGCCCTTGTTCAACTAAGATTCCAAGAGAGTGGTTTATTCACAAAATATGCTAAGGCTGTGACCTATAAACTACCAGCCCAATCTTGGCCTGATCTAATGTGTTGTGTGAACCCAAGTATACAGTGCAGGATAAATGTTACCAGCCAATTTGACTGGCTTTATATGCATGCTTTATAAATGGAATGCAATTGCTCTATCAAGCTTCTGAATTTTATGACTGTACACAACTTTTCCCCCCTTCCTGACAGGTCCTTTGTCTCTGCTTTCCTCTTCTCCATTGAGGTCCAGGTGACCATTGGTTTTGGTGGAAGGATGATGACTGAAGAATGTCCTATAGCCATCAGTGTTTTGATCCTCCAAAACATTGTGGGCTTGATCATCAATGCTGTCATGCTGGGCTGCATCTTTATGAAAACTGCCCAGGCACACCGGAGAGCAGAAACCTTGATCTTCAGTCGGAATGCAGTCATTGCTGTTCGTAATGGCCACCTGTGCTTCATGTTCCGGGTAGGTGACCTGAGGAAAAGCATGATCATTAGTGCTTCAGTACGAATCCAGGTTGTAAAGAAGACTACTACTCCAGAAGGAGAAGTCATCCCGATCCACCAGGTTGATGTTCCGGTTGATAATCCTCTTGAAAGCAACAATATTTTCCTAGTGGCTCCATTGATCATTTGCCATGTCATTGATAAACGGAGTCCTCTTTATGACATCTCTGCCAATGACCTGGCCAACCAAGACCTAGAAATTATTGTCATACTTGAAGGTGTGGTGGAAACCACTGGAATCACCACCCAAGCCAGAACATCCTACATATCAGAAGAGATCCTCTGGGGTCATCGCTTTGTGCCCATCGTAACTGAAGAGGAAGGGACTTATGCTGTTGACTACTCCAAATTTGGCAACACAAGCAAAGTTGCAGCACCCCGCTGCAGTGCCAAGGAGCTAGATGAGAAGCCCTCCATTCTCATCCAGACCCTCCAGAAAAGTGAGCTGTCCCACCAGAACTCTTTGAGGAAACGTAACTCCATGAGAAGGAATAACTCCATTCGGAGGAATAATTCCATCAGGAGGAATAACTGTTCCTTCATTGTGCCTAAAGTCCAGTTCATAACACCTGAAGGCAACCAGAACACCTTGGAAACATGACAAAACCAAGGAGTCATATACAGCAATTCTGCAGAAACAGGGTTTTACCTTTGTTATAATATTAGTACTAATTTGGTAGAAACATTTAATGGATATTAAGGGCTATTTATTACATGCAGACACCAGATCAAACCAGAGACAGGGTGCAGTTGAATCCATCTGTCCCTAAGACTCTCTATCAATATATGGCCCCATGTGTGCATCATTTGAGGTTGAGATGATATACAGTATAGTCAGCATTTCTTTGAATTGACACATTTCTTTCACAGAAAATATTAGCATGCTGGGGGAAAAAGTAAATCAAAACATGGTGGGCACTCACCCTTTGCACCATGACAAATCATGATTAATTAAAATGCAAATTTAGAAATAACTGCTGCCGTTTAATAGTGATACCCATACAGTGCAGTGTAATGGTTAAGACCAAGAAAGTTGGCTTCTAGTCCCTTCTCAGTCACCAAAGCTCACTGAGTGACTTAGGACTGGTCACTCTCTCCCAGTCCAGCCCCCTTCACTGGGTTAAATCACCCGAAGGGTCATTTGCTCAGTCTGCTGTTAAATGCTAACTGTAGACATCTATAGCAAACTACAGTGATGATGGTGAATTACTATCATGCAAATGCCATCCTTACATACTTATATCCAAACACCTAAGTCATGTCATCCTTGTGCTCTTGACATCATTTTCTCCCCATTAACAACCCTAAATGTCCATGACCAGATTGTCTTTAAAAAACAGACACCTTCACCGGCAGGACTGTACTCTTACAGACCTACAAATAAAGGACTGTTTTGTATAAATAGGGCATAGGGTCACCCTAGGCAAAAGTGACAGGGTAGCAAACTGTGTTGAAAGAAAGGTTTGTGTGGAGGCTCACTTGAAGAGAACTCATCCAGGGATGCTGTGGATTTTCAGAGAGAGGTTCAAGAGTGTTCCTGCTTTACAAGTAGCATTTGTGTTCAGCTTCAGTAAATATCCTGGCTGAATTCCACCTAGGGGGAAGAAAGACAAGGATCTTCTTGTGACAGATAATCCTCATGTCTTGTTTGGGTGCCTCTCTCTGAGAAATGTTTAGAATCATTGGCTCCTGGTGCCAGGTAGTCCATTGAATCAAATAGTCACTTATCTCCAATTTGTTTCTGGGACCAACTCAAAGTGCTGGTGTTGATCTTTGAGGAGCCTAGAACCGAAAGAATTGGAAGAATGCAGAACCTGGTATCTGAAAAGGTGCCTTTCTCTCTTCTAAACCTGACCACTTGTTGAGGTCCAAGGACCTCTTCAGAGATTGTAAGATGGGCAAGGAGAGAATTAAGCTTTTCCTTGGTGACACCCCTCTTGAGGAAAACTCCTCCCCCAATAATTGTTTGCTACCCATACCTTTGGAAGAGGAGAAAGACAGCAAGTTACCTCTTTTGTTTACATGAATGTTGGGCCAATTGTCATTTGAAACTATTATTCATTCTCCCTTCACCTTCTATTTAATTCAAAGCTGTTTTATCTATTTTAGCGTGAATGTTCGTTATGGGAAATGCATGCATGTGTATATCTGTGTGTGTGTCTGTGTGTGTTCTTTGTATCTAAATCTCTATCCATATCTAGATATCTGTTGAACTGTATTTCAAAAGTCTTATGTAATCCATTTTGAAAATTGTAGAGTCTTAGAGGAAGGGAATATTTTAAGGAAGTGTTATGCCAGGAGTATTTTGTTGATGAATAGTGGATATTGCTGAAGCCTATAACAGCAGGGTTTAGCAGTAACAGTAGCACTATTAGTTAAAAAAAACCACAAACACATGGGAGGAATCCCCTCATGAGTGTGGAAAACAAGGGAGTTCTAGACTAGCATTTCTCAGCCTCAGAAACTTTAAGATGTGTGGACTTCAACTCCCAGAATTCCCCAGCCAGTGTTGCCCAGCCAGAATTCTGGGGGACTTCCAGCATTCCCCAATCAGAATTCCCCAGGCAGCCAGCTTAAAGTTGCTGAGGTTGAGAAACACTGCCCTAGACAATTGAAGAGATGGTTGTACAAGACGGCACCTTTGTACACACCTCTTGGCCCGTCTGAACCAAAATAAGTGCAAGAACACTTTGCTCTGCCTGCAAGAATTTTCTCTTTTTCCTTTGACAGAATTTCTAAAAAGAATTCCCTTTCATTAAATTGAGCGAAATTTAGAAGATCTAAATCTAACCTTCCTGGGTTAGATTTGCTTCCTTAGCCACAATATATGCCAGCAATGTGAGAAACAAGCTGAAAGTGAGCACCTCTCAGGGCTGAGATGCCTGTCCTGCCAACAGTCTGTCAGCTTCAAGGCCGTGAAGCAAAGAATTTGTTGAAATGTGGGGAGAAGAAGCAGTGGGTTTAAACTGGGTATAAGAGAGGAGCTACACCGCCATGCTGACAGAGGAAAAATCAACTGTTCAATGGGGCTTCATTGTGCAATAAAAACCTAGCCGTGTCATGTCATGTTTCTGACAGACCTCAGCCAAACCCAAATTTAGCAGCTAAATTAAGCCACGTGAAATGGAGGGCTAAGATTTACTGCGGAACCCTGGTCCAGGAAACCTAGTAATCCTAGCCACCAATGTAAGGTTCCTTCAGTCATTATGTGCACACTACTATATTTCCTTCAGACTAAGACTACAGTGCATGTTGCTGATTTACCCATCATCATTGACCTTCCCCCTGCCTTCCATCAATTTATTAACAAACACTTGAATACAGTTCTAGTCACTTGATAATAGTTTTACTAAATCTCTGTAGCGTTCATAAGCTAAGATTGGGGAGTTAATATTTGCTTCACTGTATGGTAAGTTGTGGATAACTACTATTCAGTCCCCACATGTGTTCATTTATCAGCAAATAATGCACCTTGAAGAACCATTGTAAGAATTCTGACATATCTAAATGTAGGGAGTATTAGCTGTCCAGCCTCACCAAGAAGACTTCTTCAATAAAGTTTTTCCACTTTCTTGCTTTGCTCTGATCTGTTCTTATGTTTGAGGTGAAGGGCATAAAATTGGGATCTGGGACCATAATTATGCAAAGATGTAGAGCCTTTCCACATATTGACCTTTTCCATCCTCGAGGACATCTGATGCTGTCTTCAAAATAATTTGTGTTGCTGAAACATCAGACTCACATTAGTCCCACAACTGTTAGCACCCTGTCTGTGGTCTGTGTCACGTATCACTGATAAAATTCCCCCCAAAGAGAAGTGAGTGGGTAATGTGGTCAGACAGC